CAGCTGGAAAGAAATTTTACTTCTGAATAAGTTGTATCAGATTTAGATGATATTCAGATAAGCCTTTGAACTTTAGACTTTAAAGTGGATGCTGGGACAGGTTAAGGTAGAGGCTGATGGGATTAAATGAATTTGCATGTTAGAAGGACGTGAATTTTGGCGGAGGATCCAGAGGCAGAATACTATAAACTGAATGCTTGTGTTCCAAACCACTTAGTGCCACAGGGAGCACCCACCACAGGTCTCCAGGTCACTGACAGAAAAAGGCATAGTCCCCAGTTGGTAATAAGTGCATTCCCTCTGGCCTCATGTTGGGCTTGATGGTTCCCCAGCACAAAACACAACGGCTATGTAGGGTCCGACTGAATGAACATTTGCTCAGTGATTGAATGTTCAGGTGGATGAACGAATGAGCGCCAGTACGTGTGGCGTGTTCGCAGTACGTGCGGCGTGCTCGCATTATGTGCAGCATTCTCACAGTACATGCGGCGTGCTCAGAGTACGTGCGGCGTGCTCGCAGTACGTGCGGCATTCTCACAGTACGTGGCGTGCTCATAGTACATGTGGCGTGTTCGCAGTGCGTACGGCGTGTTCACAGTATGTATGGCGTGCTCACAGTGTACGTGGTGTGCTCCCAGTATATATGATGGTCCAGTATTTATGATGTGCTTATTTCTATGACAGACTGATCTCTTCATATGTCCCCATTTGGTAAAGTTTTTCAAAATGAGACAGTGTGCTTTGCAGTGACACTCAGGGTAACACGAAAGAGATATGTAGATACAATCCATGCTTCAGAGGACAGACTGGGAGTTGCAATGAGTACAAAATTCGTGTCCCTTTCCAGGCACTCTTTCAGAATTGTTGCTGAGCTCCAGAGAAAAAGCACAATGAGCTGTCTGAATGATAGCAGAGGCTGTTCCAGGGGCTCGCCATGGGGCTTAAGGGACCAGGGACTATCAAACTACCACTTTCCTCGAGAGGAATCCACAAACAAAGACAAAGCTTCTGCTAGCGATTTTGTGGTTGTGGTGTAGCATAGAATCTGCGATCAGACTTTAACTTGAAATTCCTGCATTTCCATCTAGCTCCATGCACCCTGCTGCCAGTACGGTGAACATTCCAAGGAGTAAGAAGGCCCACTCTGCCCGCTCTGTCTAAAGAGCTGTAACCCCCAAGGGTTAAGTTTCAAGAGCCATATGGAGACCACAATATGGTTTCCAACTTAGCTGTACAAATGAAGTGCGATCTTGAAACACAGTGAGATCCTTGCACTAGATATTTCTCTGCAAAATTTCATCATCTTGGCCAGAAAGATGTGGTCTCATCTCTTGGCCAGAAAGATCTTAATCATTAAAAGTAAATAAAATCAATGTTATTTTCTTCTTTTTCTATACTAGTCATTTGTCATCTATGAGGACTATTCCAAAAGCTATTTTCATATTTAGTAGATATTGGTGAAAGGTAATTCACTTGTAAGTTGAACTTTTAAAAAGAGCTTTGAAATGTCACTATACTTACATATTTTTATAAGAAAATATCTTTAGCTTGCAGTCTCTGAAGGAACAAAATCAAAACTGCTTAAACAAGTTTCCTCGCTGGAGGAGAAACTACAGGCTTTGGGCCATAAGGAAGCCAGTGGGGAACCGTACGAGAAAGTGGTTCTTGTGAAAGAACAGGTAAGTTGCTGAAGAGAAATTATCTTTATTTTAAAAGTTTCATAGGAAAGCTATAACCCAATTTTAGCCCAGGAATATGGGGAGAGGGGAGAGGGAGGAGAAGGAGGGAGGGAGGTTGGGTGGAGGGAGGGTGATTGGTGGGATCACGCCTATGGTTCATCCTATAAGGGTACATGTGAATCTCTCTAAATGTAAAATATAAATGTTTTAACACAATAACTAAGAAAAAGACATGAAGGCTATGTTAACCAGTTGGATGAAAGTATTTCAAATTGTATACAGAAACAGTACACTGTACCCCATGATAATATTAATGTGCACTGCTTTGGTTTAATAAAAAAAAATTAAAAGTTACTTAACCTTATACAAACTGACAGTCCTACGAAGTCATTTCTGGCTGAGTTGGAAGTTCATATTTAAGTTCACAATGGTAAATAACAACCTGTATTTGCTGAAAATCATTTTATTCCTTGGTGAATATTGACAGATCAAAATTCATTTTTTTACTAGTAGTTTCAAAGTTTGTTTGACATGTACCCTTTTGAATACTACTAGCTGAATTTTATTCTATAAATGATATTAACTGCACAAATGTTTCTTACTTGTCACTGTTGAACCTAGTCAATGAATAGTTTCTTTTCTATAGTAAAACAGTCGATCTTAAAATTTGGCATATTTTTCATAAGAAATAATTAGTCGCTAAATCTCTAGTATATATGTGTACATATATATTTATTATATAAATTTACCTCCTGGTTAACCCAAAGGCTTTGTATCTGCCTTTGAAATACATGAATGTTTTTATGTGAAGGTGTATGTGTAGGGGGGATTTACGGTGAATTAACAGTAACTGTAGCATGTGAAGCCAACACTGTTTTTCCCCCACCATTTCCCAGTTCTTATCACATCAGTGTGTTTCATCTTTGGGTTCTTCCATAGAATGGAAAAGGAGCAGGGACAGGAGGGATGATTTTTTTATAGTGATGATTTTCAAAAACAATCTAGCTGAGATAATGCTGCCATTCACAAGGCTAGAGAGCTGGTCCATATTTATATTTGGAATACTTTCACTATGAAAAAGGAAGAGTTATGCACTTGGTTTCTACACTTTTCTCCTTTTCAGTACATTGAGAAATTACAAGCTGAAGTCAAGTCTTCCCAGGAGCAACTTATAGCCCATGTAAGTGTTTTCCTCCTTTTGTCATTCCTTTATTTATATCATCGTTATCCTGGAAATGAGCAGAAATTTGCCATAAGTTATGAATGAGATTTGACTGTGTCAAACCAAATCAGTATTTTTACTGTTTCCACAGAGCTGTTTTTCCAAAAATAAAATCCTGACTTTTTGCTGAAGATAAAAATTACAAACTGAGCTCTTACTATAATCAGATGGTCTAAGTAGGTACCATCAGGATAAGAGAACTAACGCTAAAGGAAGAATCGAAGTCAGGCTTGTTTTATGAGTGGATGGTTGTAGAGAGACAATGTCATGGTAATTATTGACGCATCCAATACAGGTCTAGAGCAGTGCTTCTTAAACTTTACTGTATGTGAGAATCACCTGGAAAGATTCTTAAAACAAATTGCCCAGAGGTTCTGTTTCCTAGGTTGGTCCTGGGGATTTGCACTTGTAGGTGATTCTAGATTCAGATGATCCTGATGCTGCCAGCATCTGGACCACGCTTGGAACGGCACTGTTGTATGCACACACACAAACGCACACACATACATACGCATTCACAAAAAATGTATACACATTTTAAGAAAGGGAAAAAACTTAGGTTTGTACCCTGCCTGGGTTTGTACCCTGCTAAACAACAATGACAACAACACAGAACTAGCCGGGCATTTTGGTGGGCACCTATAGTCCCAGCTACTTGGGAAGCTAAGGCAAGAGAATCTCTTAAGCCCAAGAGTTTGAGGTTGCTGTGAGATATGACGCCACAGCACTCTACCGACGGCCACATAGTGAGACTCTGTCTCAAAAAAAAAGGAAAAAAACCCCACCAAATTTGTAATATTCAAGTCATGTTTGACTTCTATAATTATAAGAAGTGCTTAGTGTGACTATTGGTATATATTGAGTATTGCAATTTAAATGCAGCTTTTTCCTTTCTTAAAATGTGTATATATTTTTTGGCACCCTCTGTTTATACCAGGGGTGCCCAAAAATATATACACATTTTAATTGATGTTATCTAAGAATTACTTTTCAAAGTTGAATTGAATTACAGTAGCAATATGTACTATGACATTCACTCAATGATAGTATTAATCAAATGAATCCAAGCATACCCATGTGGCCAGCAGGACAGTCGGAGAAAATGGTGGAGGCATGGGTGTCTTTAGAGGAGCACAAGACCATTTTGAAGTGGTATTTGAAATTTGAGAATGTTGTGGAAGTACAACGACAATGGAAGTGTGAGTGCACAACAGCGCCTTGAAGGCGTCTAGAATTGCACACATCTGTGATAAGTTTGGGCCTCGTGGTACTTTGTGTGATGTGCACAAGGGAAGATCCAGGGGGCCTCGCCCAGCAAGTCCTGCACAGTGATAAGAGTGGACACTTGGTCAAGTTGCTCAAGCAGTGGTCACTGTCAACACAAGTATCTGGACACTAATGGTGATCACTTTGAGCACCTCTTGTAATTGCAGAAGTCAAACACGGCTTGTATTCATCTTTTGTTATTGTTATATATTGAGTATTATAATTTGAATACAGTTTTTTCTTTTCGTAAGATGTGTATATATTTTTTGGCATCCTCTGTGTATGTTTGTGTGTGTGTACACACACACATATATGTACACACACTCACACACACACATACCCTCTCAATTTATATATTCATTCTACTGCAGTCTTGTGATGTTTAGGGATATGACCGTATAAACTAATCAGAGTATATAATTATCCATTTTCTCCTTCAAGTAATCCCATAAAGAAATCTCATGAATTTCTAGGGCAAATTTCATTTAAATGTTAACCATGTTTGTTCAGAGAACAACGCACAAGCATCTCCTGCCAAAATGCCCTTGTGTATTATTCACCCTTAAAGCAGACACCCCACATCTGTCTTTTCCAAAGGATCCAAGCAACTCTTATGCCTTGGGCATCCTCAAAGACTTGCTCCTTTTTTAAAACTTATCTCCTCCCCTTACATTCTGGGTGCTATGGGATGATTTCTTGATTAAGGACGCTGGTGAGTCATGTTAATGGCCAACCTTAGTATCATCAAGCTCCTCAGACAGGCCTGAAATCTAAGAAGCTGCAGTCTAGAAGATCTGCAGAAAAGACTGCAAAATAATAAATTCTGGTGACCATCCCTTTGGGGGTTGAAATGAATAGACTTGGGTAAATCTTGGTAATTGCCTCATTTTTGTGCTGGAGAAGAATAAAGCTAATCTGCTGTGGCAGTTAGCAGAGACTTTAAATTCCGAATCCATTTGGCCGTATATGCTCGATTGATCAGCATGAAAATGACTAAGGGCTGCCTTTGTGGCACTGTAACATGTTCAGACAGAAATATGTCACATTAGCCCAGTATTCTGTTGCAGATGCCTCTCCCCTGGCCTGCCCCTGAGGGTGCCAGATAATAACTATTGTCAAAGGATGTCCTTTCATGGCAGATTGATACCTACAGTCATTTGCATGCAGGGAGATTTTAGCTCAGAAATTTTTAAGGAGAGCAGATATATTCACTAAGCTTCTAATACTAGCTTCTAGCATCTCTTCATAAAAAAAAAAAAAAACAGATTTAAAAAAAAATGTAATCTCTAGGTTCTTAGGGCAACTCCTGTGGTGTCTTCTTCATTGCATAGTGTCTATGGATTCTGTTCCTATACCATGCTGTGACTGTCTTGTGTAAGCTGGAATTGCTTCCTTCCATTAGGGCGCTGGTATGAATAACTGAGATTTCTCATGTATAATTGACCAACACTCAGGTTTCAATCTAGCCGGGTATTCTTCAAAAATTTGCTTCAGTTCATCACGAAAAACTTCAATGAAAACACTGTTCATGGTAATGTTTACAGTGAGGGTATTGTATGTCTTCTCCCTCCCTCACCTCTCCTACTTCTCATCGACCCCACTTGTAAAATAGAGCCTCTGTTTTTCTTTGCACTTTCTGTATCGTTTGATGCTCTGTGACTTTGCTGATGGTATTCTTTTAGACTGGGGTATTTTTCTTTCTCCTCTTCATTCAAGTAACTTTTACTCCTTTTTCAAGACTCATATCAGGGACCACCTTCTTCCTTAGTCCCCAGATTACTTCCTCTGGGTGCCTATAAACTTCCATAGATACATCCGTTAAAAGAAAGACTTCAGATAAATTTAATAGAGTTTATTTGACTGGGCAATTTATGAACTAGGCAGTACTCAGAAATAGAAGAGGTTCAGAGAGCTCCATCTAACAGTGTGAACTGAGAGCTTTTATAGGCCAAACACAGAGGCAAAGTGGAGAAATTATTTAACTGGCTATGCTAGGCATTTGCCTTATTTGGGTATGATCTGATCAGTTGGCTGCCTGAGATTGGCTGATGCTAAACTATTTGAGGTAGGCTGAAACCCAGCTATTTGTTACAAAACGTATACTTCTAAATTAAGCATCTGTTTGTGTATTATATTAGGCTGCAGTTTGTTGCCTAGGAAATTGGGGTGCAGAGATTGCTTCAGGCCACTGGCCTCCTGCTTATTTCATTTAACAGAGCTTAACATGTTACAGTTTTTGACAGTGTTTCTTTAGACATCTATTCCCTATTAGACTCTAAGGTCATTGAGGGCAGTGCCAAGAATATGTCTCTGGATCCAAGTATAGGGTTAAGTACATTCTCTATTCAGTACATTTTGCTGAATTGAGTTGAATTTTACTATGATCATGTCATTTCCTCAGCTTCAAACTCTAGATTGAGAAAATGGTCACCCATTACCCCAGAATAAATTTGTCATGCTGATCATGGCATTTATCACTCTGACAATGGTGGCCTGACCCCTTTCCTGTCTCATCTTCAGCATATGTCTGGGACCCCCAAGTACTTCATGCATCCCTGTCTTAAGGGCTTTCTTTATAGTTCCTTTCTACCTGGAATACCTCTACCTGCCATTGAGCTTGCCAGGTTTTTCCCATTCTATTTCAAGACTATTCCTTTCAGGACGTTCTTCTTGACCGGCAACCTAAAAGTAATCTCTCCTTCCTTGGTGTTTCCACAGAACTTCTCTGCACCTCTCTCTAGTCACCTGTCACACTGTGCCCCATGGCAGATGATTTGATGCAGCATATCTCTTTTCTAAGACTGAACAGAGAGTGGACCTGTTTACCCTTATGTCTCCCATAGTGTCTTGCTCAAGGCTTTGTATAGATTTCATTAAAATGAATTGTTCAAATAACTAATTAAAAAATAAAATTATTTTGGCACTTATAGGAGCATACTTTATAACTCATGGAAAATCACTTGGTAAAAGGCATGTTTTCCTTAAAGATTAAAGGGATTACTTTAATCAGTGGCTGATGCTTTTAAGGTGCAAAATGCGAAGACCAAAAGGATATGATCTCAGAGTGAAAAATAGAAGGAAAAAGATAACAGAGAAGGACAACACCGCTGTGGGAAATCCCTACTTCAGCTGAAGTAAGAAGAGTAAGGAAACATGATCTTAACATGAAAATTAACAACCTGGGGTCTGGGCTTGCTTTTATTCAGAGTTCACTCATCTAGAATTCCATAGTTGAATCATATTAAAGTATAACTAAATTGATAGCTATGAAATGGAGAACAGATACAAGCCTTAACATTTTAGAGTTATCATTTGCTTGTATTCTGAAGCTTAAACTCTCATCTCATTAACTTTACTGTGTCTAGTCACAACTTATACTTTTAAAAAAATTAGAAAGAATTGTTCCTCCCAATGCACAGATCAGTGCCCAGGCTAAGGTGCCCTGGGCATTTTTATCACTTCCTCCCACATGATTACTTATCCACTTAGCAACCTACATGGGATAAAACAAATAGTTGAAGTGAATGTCGGTAATCACTTTAGAGATTATTGTTCATGTTAGGGCAATTTGAGTTAGGACTAAGTATCTTAAGGAAAAATTCCTTTTAAAATTAATGCCTTCCAAATGATTGATCCATTTCTTGTCTATGTTTAGTATTTGGGGGGTTTAACCCCATCTGTCCACAACATCA